AAATTGAATGGGAAGCGCCAGCTCAACTCATATCATTGTGGGAAAATTCAACTGCCAGTCCTTATCACCTCTAGACGAAATAGGGTGAATACATTTTAAAAGTAATTATGCTGCATGTATATATTGCCTTGGGGACAGCATAAACCAATCAGCGATTGGCCGAAGCCTTCTTTTAACACACCCTTTCACTCGAAATCAAAGTTAGCTCAACAATACTAAGCCAAACAAATAAATGGTAGATGGGAAAACCAAGACGTTGTGGCCTCTGTATTGTTTGCAGCCTCCTCACGATGCATACAAGTGGTCTGACCTGGGTTTTGCAGCTTTGTCGTGTAGTCAGGGCGGCCTAGTCTATACCCTTTTCCAACTATCTGCCCAACAATCGTGTAATCACTTCTCTTTTTCTCTCTTTGACGAATTATAGAGTGATGCAAGTGAAACGTCTGGGAATGTACCAAGTCCACGCTCCAACGGTGAGAATAATCATAACTGCTGCGGCAGAAGACGTATGACAAGATGCATCCCACTAGGTCGCCCTGACAACACGTCCATGTTAACAAAACGAGATCGGACCAGTTCTAAACAAATAAAGACTGTTTACAACGAGATATATGTACAGGTGTCATGGCAACGATAGACGAAAGGTCATCGTGTCCATCATAAACCGGAATGACCAAATGGCTCACCTTGAAACTGCTCCAATTTTAGATGATCAATTTCTTTTGCGGTCGCTTCCGTGTTCAGATGGAACATTATGCCTCGATGCCCTGACCTCCTCTGACTCTTTGAATAGGACCAGGCACAAGTCTCGGACTCACAGCCTGCACTGTTGAGGGCCCGGTTGTCAGATTGGTTGTTGCATGACTGGTTGTGCTGGTTCGCCTCGAAGGCGATTTGCTTCAAAAGGTTCGTGGCCCGTTTGACACGACGCTTCAGAGAAGGAGCCACCTAAACAGAAAATGCGGTCAAAATGGTCATTAAGCAGAGGCTGTAAGGGAAATGGCATCTACATTTTTCGTGGTTATGGCGAATTTGCAAAAAAATTACATTTTCTGGGTGCCCGTTAAGACGAGTTGAGAAAAAATAAACTTCCATCAAATGAGTATCCACGGCATGTTCCGCTTATAACCAGCTGCGGACAGGGTTTGGTTGGAACAACAAGGCCTGCCGATGAATCCGGGAAAATGGGATAAAGCAAAAAGATCAAGCATGGGCCAGCTCGTGATCCATTCTCCAGTAATTGAATTATATTCCAACAGTATAGTCTAAATAAGAACGTGATTAATCTCGGACTTAATGGTTCAATTTCATTCAGGATCTACAGATTTTCCTGAATCTCATTGATATAGCAAATGATGGTGTGCTCAAATAATATTGCAAATAAAAGTTTGCCTTATTCCACTAGAAACTGAGTAAGGAGGGACCTAGTTTGCCTCGAAAGTCTCATTTCCCTCTGACTAACGGACACTGGTGGACGTGTGTGTGTGCATGGTGGAGTAGTTAAATATAGCAAAATGATGTGCACGATCCTAGTAAGAGTCCCGTCGAGGGGGCATGTGAGATCGGAGCGAGGTAAAATCTGTAGGGAAAGGTCAATGGTATATTAAGATCTGCTCATTGCGTGGTTGGAAAATTTATGTTTGTTGAGCTTATTTCCATTTCAAGTGAAGGTGTTGGGTGAAAAGATTCGAAGGTCGGTTCCACCAGAAGATGACGACGGATTCCTCTTGACCAGCTGTCGATTGGCTTTACAGGAACATTCATGCTGACGCTGTTTCCGAGGCAATCTTCTTCGATTTTGGTGAAAAGGTGTTAAGCTTTCGTCCGTCATATGACGGACATCATCAGAGCAAGGTAACATCATCACAACAAAATTCAAGCTAGCGAGTCAAGAAAACTCACCGGCAAATCCCTAAAAAGTGGTATATATACT